AAAAAAAAAAAGAACACATTTAACAAGGGAGTAGCTCTACTCATTACTACAGTCACACCTTTATTGAACCCCTTCATTTATACCCTAAGGAACCAACAGGTAAAGCAAGCCTTCAAGGATATAGTCAAAAAGCTTGTGAATCTTTAAAGAATTTCAGAATTGAAGCTTTAATGGTTGAGTGCTTACTGTGTACCAAGCCCTCTGCCAACTTACTACATATCCAAGAAAGAGTTAAATTCCAGGCCAGTGAGAAGGACCTGGAAATAAATAAATTACAACCTGTTAAGTTTTCATATAAAGAAATTATTAAGGCTATTTTATAGATGAAAAAGTAGCACAATCTGAGCTACAGTCAATAAATGTTTTCAGAGGGGATACCATTTAAACTCAGTCTTAACAAGTAGGAGTAAGTCAAACAAGCAAAAATAGAGAAAGAGAAATCTGGGTAGAAGGAATATTATTTTTAGGAGCACAGAATTTCAATCCAAAAGGATTGAGTAAATGTCATTAATTTCAATGATACAAAAAGAAGGGGGAAAAGGTTTGTGAAGATGATAGCTATAGTTTTGAATTAAGTTAAATCTCATTTTGCATAAATTAAATGCCCATAATGTCAAAGCATCTGGATTTCAAGCCAGATCTAGGAATTTAGCAGAAGTCAAGCAGATCTAGGAATTTTCAGAAGTCAAAGAGACACACATACCTTTTTTAAAAGAATGTATTCCCCATCTTTTATCTTTTAATAATTACAAAGGATTAAATTATTTGATTTTAAGTCTTTAATCCTATTAAAATGCAATTAAGAGAGGTGGTGTACTGGTGCACTATAGTAGCGAACATCTCCAAATCTCAGTGGCTTAAATAACAAAAGTTTATAATCTTTCATCCTATATATCCTATGTGGATCAGCAGTGAACTCTGCTCTTGTGCTCTTCCCACATCTGCTTATTAGGCTGCCATCTCTAAGTGCCATGCTTTAAGGATCACAACAGGAAACACAGAGACACAGAATGTCTCAAACCTGTAATTACATGCTCCACTCAAAATCCACTGGTTAAAACAAGTTAACAACTGCAAATTATCCAAGAAGTGTGATCTCACACACATGTGAAGGGACAAAAGACCATAAGAACTTGTGTGCAAAGGTGAGAACTCTATAGGCCAGAATATGTGACCTTCTTTCCAAATGGCAGCCAAGTTGAAACAGGATTGGCTACAGAAATTTGGCAGAGCTAACTACTGCCATGAAAATTGGAGTGAGACAGAATGAGGAAAACAGCTTCTTGAGGTTTGATCTTTTTACAATATAAATCTTATCATGTCATTCTCTTTCTTAAAACCCTCTGATGGCTTCTCATTACTTAAATTCCAAATTCCTTACTATAACTTACAACAGCATTACACGAACTGGCTCTGGCCACCCTGCCCTAACTAAGAAACCAAGCCCTGAAGAGGTTATAATTGGAATTGATGTTCCTTCCCCAAAGAGAACTTCAGGACTATCTGCATCCTGTTATTACTCCTTGTCTACCTTAACCACCACCAGAATTATAAGCTATCTATCACCCTTCATTACCCCCAAGTGATCTGTCATTTTTTTTAATCCCTTAGATCCTCAGCTTCTCCTCTGAAAATTCTCTTCACATCAGTCCTTCTCTAACTGAAACCTCCTATCCTTTGAAAACCTTCTTATGCAGTTCCCTCAAGCAATGGCTGTTTTCACTCCACATATTTCTGATGCTGGAGATGGAGTATGTGCCTTCTTGCTCCCCATTGACTCTTACAGATTATTGCCTCCCTTCTCCTCAAAAATTGTAGCTCCTTTAAAGTACATGCCATCAGATTATACCATTCCTTGTTCTCCTTCAAATGCCCTTGGTTCACTGAAATGTTAGCAACTGGCTTACTTCTAATCTACCACTTAAACTGCTTACCATTCTTGGTGACTTGAATAACTACATAGATGATCCAGACAAGACTCTGGCCTCTTGATTTTTGACATCATCACTTCCAGTGGCCTTGTTAACCACCCACTCCCACATTATTACCCTAGACTTTGTCATTTACAATAACTACACTACCTCTAAAACCTCAATTCCAAGCTACCTAGCATGACTGTAACTTTCTATCTTCCCAAATCACTCCCTCTTTCCTTCCTTCTTTCCAAAACTTCTTCAACCCCAAATGGCTTCCCAATGATTCTACCATCATTCATTATTTGACACTCATAACTCCTTCTCTGGCTTGGATTCTACAGTTCACAACCAATCAAATGGTCCTTTGCATGCCCCCTCAGCTCTCTTTCCTCTCTCTTCCTCCCATTTCCCTGTTATTCTTGATAGAAAAACTTCTCAGAAGGTTGGGATACTCACTATGTACTTCTTCACATTCTTTTTTAAATCCAGTCTAAACAGGCTTCTGCCATCACAGGAATGAACTGCTCCTGTCAAGGTCAACCACAACCTCAATGTTGCCAAACCCACTGGCTATGTCTTAGTTCTCATTTCATGTAACATAACAGCAGCATTATACAGTATATCTCCCTTTCCTTCTGGAATCACTTTCTTCCCTTCTGGAATCACTTTCTTCCCTTGGCTTCTGAGATGTCACACTCTGTTTTTTTTCCTACTTTCACTACTTACTCCTTCTCAGACTTCTTTGCAGTTTTTACGAGTTATTGGCTTTGGAGCTACAAAAGTGAGACTACAAGTTAAATTGCTGTAAGAGGGGCGCCTGGGTGGTTCAGTTGGTTAAGTGCCTGACCCTTGATTTCAGCTCAGGTCATAATCTCACAGTCATGAGATCAAGCCCTGTGTCAGACTCCATGCTTAGCTTGGGATTCTCTCTCCCTGTGCCCCTCTCCCCAACTTGCATACTCTCAATCTCTCAAAATAAATATGTAAACTTTTTTTTAAATGAGTTGCTGTAAGAAATTGAAAATCTCCATGGTCTATCTCTTGCCATATTACTAATCCAATGGTCAGTCCTCATCTCACATTACCTACCAGCAACATTTGACATAACCAATCACTTTCTCCTCTATAAACTTGCCTCCCAAGATACACAATTCCCTTAGTTTCCTCCTACCTCACTGATTGCGCGTCTTAGTCTCCTTTACGGTTCCATCTCTTCTTCAATCTCTTAAAGTTGAAGTGCACATCCCAAGGTTCAGCTCTTAGTCCTCTTCTCTTCTCTATCAACATTCGAGAATGACAGCAGCAAAATGGTGGTATAGGAACTTCTAGGGTTCATCCTTTCCCAGAAGCATCAATTTGAACAACCCTATGTGCAAAAATACATTCAAAGAACTAAGAATTCCAGGTAAGGATTTACAGCACCTAGATGAAGCACAGAAATAAGAACAGACACACTGAAAGGGTAGGAAAGCAATTTCACGTACCCCCCATCATCCATCCCCCAAGACTGGGCAACCCAGTTGACAGAGACACCCTTCCCAAGGGAAAGAGAGAGTGAAGTTAGTGCACAGTTTCACTGATGATGCACCACTGGTACTCACCAGCACCAAGCCAGCTTTCATAACTCTTCTTCTAGACCAGTTCATACAGACCCATGCACCCAGCCCACCCTAGAACCAGGCCAGCCCCATGTACCCAGCCTCCAGGCTATCTCTCACAGACCCATGCTCCAGCCAGCCCACAGACACAGGCGCATCCCAGTGGTCCCAGCCCCTGGTCAGTTCTTCAAACCCAGGATTCAGTCCCACCCACACAGACCCAGACCCCAGGAACACTACTACAGACAGGTACTAAGGCTCAACCCAGGGAACCCAGCCCCACTCTCATGGACCCAGGCACCAGTCCAGCCCACCTGATGAACCAGACAAGAGTCTTGCCTGCCAAAGGGACTCCAGCAGATGGCCCACCCAAATCTCTAGATGGGCTGACTGGTGAAGAGTTTTCCCTGCCAAAGCCAGCCTATAAAGACTGAAGGAAGTGCCTACTTCCTCAAATGTGCAAACACCAACACAAGGCCACAAGGATAATGAATAATCAAGAAAACATGACACCACCAAAGGAAACTAATAAAGCTTCAATAACTGACCCTGAAGAAATCCATCAGCTGATAAGGATAAAGAAGATGTGGGATAGGGGCGCCTCAGTGGCTCAGTTGGTTAAACATCCAACTTCAGCTCAGGTCGTGATCTCACAGTTCATGGGTTCAAGCCCCATGTCAGGCTCTGTGCTAACAGCTCAGAGCCTGGAACCTGCTTCAGATTCTGTGTCTCCCTCTCTCTTTGCCTTTTCCCTGCTCACTCTCTGTCTCTCTCTCAAAGTAAATAAACATTAGAAAGTTTTTTAAAAGTTTTAAAAAGATATAGGATATATAGATACATATACATATATAACATATATAACAGAACATTAGTCATAAAAAAAAGATGAAATCTTGCCATTTTCAATGGCGTGGATGTCGCTAAACAGTATAATGCTATGTGAAATAAGTCAGTCAGAGGAAAACAAATATTATATGATATCACTCATATGTGGAATTTAAAAAACAAAACAAATGAACATAGGGGAAAAAAGAGAAGAAAACCAATAAACAGACTCTTAACTATGGAGAACAAACTGATTGTTACTGGAGGGGTAGTGGACATAAGGGATGGGTTAAATAAGTGATGGGTATTAAGGAAGACACTTGTGATAAGCATCAGGTGTTGTATGTAAGTGATGAATCACTAAAGCATACTCCTGAAACTAATATTGCACTGTATGTGAACTAGCTGGAATGTAAATAAAAACTTGGAAAGAGATGGGGCACCTGGGTGGTTCAGTCAGTTAAGTGTGCCACTGTTGATTTCTGCTCAGGTCATGATCTCACGGGTTCATGAGTTCGAGCCCCACATCAGGCTCTGCACTGGCAGTGCAGAGTTTGCTTGGGACTCTCTCTCTCCCTCTCTCTCTCTCTGCCTCTCCTCTGCTGTGTGTACTTGCTCTCTTCTCTCTTTCTCAAAATAAATTTAAAAAAAAAACTTGGAAAGAGAAAAAAAGAAATGGAGATCTATGGTCTGTCTGGCAAAGATTCAGAATAATCATCTTAAAAAATTTAGTGAACTACAAGAAACCACAGATTGACAATTAAAAGAAAATAGGAAAACTATGAATGAACAAAATGAGAAGTTCAAC